GCCCGCGCCCTCCAACGGCCCCGGCCCCGCAGGCGCGCAGCGCGCCGCCGCGCCCGGCGGCGCCGCGGCGGACGCGGGGCTGTTCATGGGCGACCTGCAGCTGTCGGCGGAGTTTGCGGCGTGGTGCCGCGCCCAGATGCTGTCCCTCAACGGCAACACCGACCTGACCATGGTGGAATTCCTGATGGGGCTCGCGTCCAACAGCGAGGTCTCGGACTACTGCGCGGCGGTGTGGGGCAACAAGCCAGGTGCGTGCTCTGGTGTGGAGTGGGACTTGGACGGCCTGCGCCTGTGCGCGTGAACCACCCGCCGAGCCGCCCTATTGCTGCCCTGCGTGCCCCACGGCTGCCTGCGACGCGCGCCAACGCTGACGGCGCTGGCCCCTGCCACCTGGCTACGCTCGCAGGCGTCTCGACGTTTGTGAAGGAGTTTGTGCAGCGCAAGGTGGCAGAGCAGAACCGCAAGCCGGGCGGGAAGAAGAAGAAGAAGGCTGGCGGCGACGCCGCGGCGCCCGCGGCAGCCGCCGCGCCGGCCGCGGGCGTCGGCGCCGCCGGGGTGGGGCTGGTCAACGCGTCGTCCGCGGACGCGGACTGGGCCAAGATCCCCAAGAAGGTGGGCGCCGCCAAGAAGAAGAAGCCGCAGAAGCCGGACGCGGGGTCGCTTGGCTACTCGTCAAAGTTCGATGGGATGGGCCTACTCGACGCCGACGACTGAGCTGGCGGCGGCGGCGGCGGCGGGACAGCAACCACCGGCGCGCGGGCGGCGGGCTGGCGCTTCCGTGGCGGTTGAACCCCCGCTGCTCGCGCCGCGGCGGGGCGGAAGGGCCGCGGCTTTTGCACGATGCATGCGTGGAGGCGGGGCGAGGAGGCGCGTCTGAGGGCGCGGTTCAAGGGCCGCGGCCGGCGGCGGTCAGCCGCGGCTTTGGGGGGCCTGCGGGGCGACCGGGCCGGCCGCGGCGCAGCGGTGAATGCCCCGAGCTGAGTTCGCACCACTTGTAATGCTTGCTGCCATCTTCAACCCGCTTCTCAAGCGGCGCCCCAGCACCCCTGCAAAGCACCGCTATCACTGCCTCCAAAAACGCTAATCCGGGACGCGCCCTCGCTGTCAGAGCTGCAGTGGACAGCAGCACACAGCGGCAAGCCGTCAAGCGACCGCCAGCCCAGGCAGCAGGGAACGCGTCCGACACGCTGGGCAGCACCCGCCATGACGGCAAGATTTGTAGCACCGAGTCGTACCCCTCTCCAATGCTACCTGCATGCCGTTGTCCAGAAAGTGCGTCCACCAGCATTCCTCACAAGAGTCGGCGGCTGGGCTGGCAGCTCAGCCGACGAGGGCGATGCGCAGAGCGTTGCCGTCCTCCCCCCTTGAAGGTGTCAACTCGTGTTCATATCAGCACGCCACCAATCGTGCTGTGCTCGGCAGGCGTGTGCGGCCCCCAAAGTCGCGCTGTGGTGGGTGCAGCAGGGCCCTGGCAGGGTGAGGCGGGACGACTATCGGGTGACAAATCAAGACAGCACACACCAGCAGCAAGCACGTCAGCTAGAGATGATGTAGGTCCTATGGGTCCGCATCTATGCCTTGTTGCACATGGGCTTGACAGCCATTGGGTGCGTCGAGCTGGTGCTTAGAGATGCAACAGAGCACGAGCCACCTGCGTGCGAGAGAGCGGCATCGGAGCTGGGATCACCTCTCGCCAAGATCCGTCCATACAGACTGCGGTTTTGAACAATCAGGCGATTCACAGACCGTCAGGGCAGAGCGCATTGGTGACGGTGTTTCCTTGTTTTCGGGTTACGCCATTGTCAATCTGCTTTGCTCGCCTCCTTGGCAAGAGGTGCATGCAAAGAAGCCAATCACAAAGGTTGCAGTGTTGATGCCTCTGCTGGCAGAGCTGGACGCTGAGTCGGTCTGCCGAAACAGTATCACTGGAACGCCCGAGTAGTGACGCGTTGCGTCGCGCCTCAGCGCTCGCCGCCTCCCGCTTCAGCAACAGCTACCACAGCAGCAGCAGCAGCAGCACCAGCAGCACCAGCAGCACCAGCAGCAGCAGTGATGATAGCAGCAGGAGCAGCAGCAGCAGCAGCAGCAGCAGCAGCAGCAGCAGCAGCAGCAGCAGCAGCAGCAGCACCACCACCACCAGCAGCAGCAGCAGCAGCAGCAGCAGCAGCAGCAGCACGAACCATGACGGACGCGGTGGACTTCCTAGACCAGTTCAATGTGCGCCGGGCCTCGGATGTGACGATTCGCTTCACTGTGTTGGCTAGCGCGCCGGGCGCCGAGCCGCCAGCAAAGCGACAGCGCTGCGACACGGCGCATGAGGAGCAGTACCAGCAGCAGGACCAGGGCCGGGAGCAGGAGCCAGGGGGGCAGCCGGACGAGACGTCGAGCCAGGGGCGGCTGCGGGCCGTCGTTCGGGAGATCTATGGGCACTCTATGATCCTGACAAAGGCCAGCGAATGGGCTGAGCGCATGCTCAGCCCAGAGTGGAGCGCGGTGAGGGGGCAAGGGTCGCAGGGCGCGCCACCGCCGCAGCCGCAGGCGCCGGCACCAAGGCTGCTGCTGCTCCGCCGCTCGGCCCCTGCGGCGGACACATTAAGGCAAGCGTTGCCTGCGGACCCGCACCTCGGCCCACTCAGGAGACGCCAGGCGTGCTAGATGTCGAGTTGGATGATGAGGGCGAGGTGCCGGCGGCAGAGCTGCTTTTCAAGAGCATGTACAGCACCGCTGACGCTGGCAGGCCGCTGAAGGGGGCCGACCAGGCCACGCTGCTGCAGGTGAGCAGCCACGGCTGCAGCGATGGGGGGCATGCCATGCAACTGCTTCTGACGATAGTGCCTCACTGGGTTGCTTGCATGCAGGTCAGGATGCAGAGCAGTACAACAGCATGGCGCCATGAATGCTGGGCTGCATAAATGTAGGCGGCATGTGCGGAACGCCATGCGCTTGCCGACGTTGGGGCTCTGCATGGTTACCTTTCCCATGCAAGCCCATGCATGTGCGCATGCATGCACACGCATTGATGCAAATACAGGTGCTGCTGCTGGCCGATCGTCTGAGGGCGGAGCGCGCGTTGTGCGCTGCCGTGAATGCCCTGCTTGCTACGGCCGACACCAGCATGGCCGGCGTGCTCGATTGGGACACAATCCTCGCGCTCTACGCGCTGCCGCCAGCTGTGGCCAAGAGCAAGGCGCTCAAGCCGCTGTGGAATGCCGGGGCGGCGGCGCTGCAGCATCGACTGGGCGATTTGGACGCAGCGTGGCTCGATGCGGGCTGCAGGGCGCAGCTGCTGGCGCTGCCATTTGAGGCCCTGCGGCATCTGCTCAGCGACGAGCGCACGCGCGTGAGCAGTGAGAACACAGTGGTGTACACAGTGGCAGCCTGGATCAACGATAACGCCGGCGGCGTGGACGGCGCGATGCAGCGCGCGGCGCTGGCGCACTATGTGCGGGCGCCGCATCTGTCGAAGCTGTACTGCGCCAGCGCCGGCTCGTGGCTGCTCACCCGCTGGTCGCCGCACATAAGCGCCGCGGACGTCCACTGCGCCACTGATTTGCAAGAGGCAGACGACAGCAGCAAACTGCGGACCAGGCTCCTGAAGGCGAAGGGGCTCCCCTTGGCGCACCGCTCCGCCTGGCGGCTGCCGCCGCGCCCCACCTCCAGCGTGAAAGAGGCGGTCGTCGAGTGGAGGGTGCCCTTGTCAGAGATGCGGCAGCTGTACGAGCAGGCGGCGGCGGGGGCGGAGGTTGGCGAGAGTCTTCAGGTGTGCTCGGAAGCCGTGGTTTTCCAGGGTTGCGAGTGGGAAGCCAGGGTCAAGTGTAAGAAGCGCGAGGCGGGTGTGATTTTACGCGCGACCTTGAATGTGAGCCTGCCACCTGGCTGCGGCGCCGCGGCGGTGCTGGCGGCGATGGTCGCATTCCAGAAGAAGCCGCCCGCGGATGACGCGCACGACCCGGCTTTGCGATTTTCGGCGTGGTCGATTGAGGTGGGGACGGGCCAGGGCTGTACGGACGTTTTCGGGCTGGGCGAGTTGAAAGAGTGGGACGAGGTGGCGTGGCGCAACAAGGGCCTGGTGGGGCAGGACGGTCGCGTTGGGGTGCGCTTCACCATAAGAGGCGTAAAGTGATGTTGGTGGTCGGTGCCTTGCTCTGTATCTGTGCCAACATTGCCGTTGCCACCGTGAGCGAGTGCAGACGCTCGCCCCCACTGCTTTGGCTGGGTTTATCAAGTAGATTCCACCTGCAGTTGGCCCATGCGCTTCTGGCCTGCTGGCACGGGCTTGCTAATGCAACGGCCCGCCAAGTTCATGCTGATTCGTGCATTGTTCTGTACTATCATTCGCCTGAGCTTGTAATCGCATACAGGGTCTGCGCTGTTCATCCCAGACCGATGTGCCTGGTCGGTTGCACACGTGATGGGTTGTTTGCCACGATGCAGCCCATACTGGGGAGTCTTCTTGGCCAGGGAGGCTCTTGAAAAACGTCCAAAGAGCCTGGGGGTTGTGTAAGCTAAGCTTGGCCCGGGCAGCCCTCTGCCCTGTGCCCATGAGCCCAGAGACTCCTGCGCCGCAACGATGACGCCTGCCTGAACGCCCGCGCCCCGAGCGGGCGGCAGGCAGCCAGGAACCGGTACTGCAACTTGCAGACCGCGGCTGGTACCAACCAGGCAAGTCACTGGTTGTTAGAAAACAGCACGTCGGTGACGGTGCTTCGGTCTGGGTTCCGCCATCCCTCAACGCGCTGCACGCACCTCATTGGCACGAGGTGCATGTAAAGAAGCTAGAAACGAATCTGATCACTGGCTGGTTGCCTCTGCTAGCGGCGCTGGACGCTGGGCCGGTCTGCCAAAACAGTGTTGCTCGCACGCCAGAGTACACTTAGTGACGTGTTGCGCCCGGCGCTCGCCGCTTACCGCTGCGGCAGCAGCAACAACAGCAGCAGCGGCCGCAGCAGCATCAGCAGCAGGAACAACAGCAGCAGCGGCCGCAGCAGCGGCGACAGCAGCGGCCGCAGCAGCGGCAGCAGCAGCGGCCGCAGCAGCTGCAGCAGCAGCGGCCGCAGCAGCAGCAGCAGCAGCAGCAGCAGCAGCAGCAGCAGCACGCGACATGGGGGACGCGGTGGACTTTCTTGACAAGTTCAATGTGCGCCGGGCCTCGGATGTGACAATTCGCTTCACTGTCACGGCCGCCAGCGCGCCGGGCGCTGAGCCCCCAGCAAAGCGGCAGCGCTGCGATGCAGCGGGAACGGAGCAGCAGCAGCCGCAGGACCAGGACCAGGACCGGGAGCAGGAGCAGGAGCAGGAGCAGGAGCAGGAGCAAGGGGGGCAGCCGGACGGGCGGCAGCCGAGCCAGGAACGGCTGCGGCGCGTCGTTCGAGAGATCTATGGGCACTCCGTGATCCTGACGAAGGCCAGCGAATGGGCTGAGCGCATGCTCAGCCCCGAATGGAGCGCGGTGAGGGGGCAAGGGTCGCAGTGCAGGGCGCGCCCGCGCCCCGGCTCCACAGCTGCCGCCACTCCGATGCTCGGCCCGTGCAGCGGCCCCATCAAGGCAAGCGTTGCCTGTAGACCCGCGCGCGCTACCTCCCACTCAGGAAACGCCAGGCGTGCTAGATGTCGAGTTGGATGATGAGGGCGAGGTGACAGCGGCAGAGCTGCTTTTCAAGAGCATGTACAGCACTGCTGACGCTGGCAGGCCGCTGAAGGGGGCCGACCAGGCCACGCTGCTGCAGGTGAGCAGCCACGGCTGCAGCGATGGGGGGCATGCCATGCAACTGCTTCTCATGATCGTGCTACACTGGGTTGCTTGCATGCAGGTCAGGCCGCGAAAGGCATGCTGTCGCTGAATGCTGGGCAGCATGCGCGAAGCGCCATGCGCTCACCGATGTGGACGCTCAGCATGGCTCCGCCCTGCATGCAGCTCATGGATTTGCATGCGAATGCAAGCTCATGCATGCGCACATTCATGCAAGCTGATGCATGCGCACACACGTGCATGCACACACAGGTGCTGCTGCTGGCCGATCGGTTGAGGGCAGAGCGCGCCTTGAGTGCCGCCGTGAATGTCCTGATCGCTACGGCCGGCGCTGGCACAGCCGACGTGCTTGATTGGGACACGGTCCATGCGCTCTACACCCTACCGCTGGCCGTAGCGAAGAGCAAGGCGCTCAAGCCGCTGCGGAGGGCGGCTGCGGTGGCGCTGCAGCATCGCCTGGGCGATTTAGATGCAGCATGGCTCGACGCGGCCCGCCGGGCGCAGCTGCTGGCGCTGCCGTTTGAAGCTGTGCGGCAGCTTGTCAGGGACGAGCGCACGCGCGTGAGCAGCGAGAACACAGTGGTGTACACAATCGCGGCCTGGATCGACGCGGCTGGCGGCGACGGGTGTGGCGCGATGCAGCGCGCGGCGCTGGCGAAGCACGTACGGGCGCCGCATTTGTCGTCGCTGTATTGCGCGACTGCCGGCTCGCGGCTGTTGACCAGCTGGCTTCCGGACATCAGCGGCGCGGACGTCCACTTCGCCGCCCTTTTCCAGGAGGTGGATGATGGCAGCATGTTGCAGACCAGGCTCCTCAGGGCAAAGGGACTCCCCCTGGCGCGCCGCTCCGCCTGGCGGCTGCTGCCGCGCCCTCCCTCCAGCGTGACAGAGGCGAACGTCGAGTGGAGGCTGCCCCTGTCGGAAATGCGGCAGCTGTACGAGAGGGCGGCGGCGGCGGCGGCAGGCAGCAATCCAATCGAGGCACGCTCAGAAGCCGTGGTGTTTCAAGGCTGCGTTTGGGACGCCAGGGTCAGGCCCAGGAAGGGCAAGGCGGGCGTGGTTCTAGATGCGCACTTGCACCTGCGTCTGCCGCCTGGCTGCGGCGCGGCATCGGTGCTGACGGCGCTGGTCGGGGTCGAGCCGCGGCCGCAGCTCGCGGATGATGCGGTCACCCCGCCCCTGCGATTCACGACGTGGGTGTTTGAGGCGGGATCGCGCCAGGGCCGTGCGGACGCGTTTGGCCTGGGGGAGTTGAAAGAGTGGGACGAGGTGGTGTGGCGCAACAAGGGGCTGCTGGGGCTGGACGGCCGCGTGGGGCTGCGGTACACTATCAAGAGCGTAGTGTGATATTGAGAACCTATGCCTCGCAGGCCTCTGTGCAGGTGAGGCGCACCGCCCCTGTGCGAGTGCAACCGCTCGTCCCCGTTGCAACGGCTCTGCCTGGGTCTCCCAGGGTCGAACCAGCCCGCGGCTGGCCATGTGCTGCCCTTCTGCTGACACAGGCGTTCTGCTGCACTCACCTGCCACCGTTGGCCATGTTGTTTGAAAACGCATTGCGTACGCTGATTTGTACTACTATTTGCACGAGCATGTACCGGTAATCGAATTATGGGTCTGCGCCCTTTGCGTGAGGCTATGTTGTAGTGTGCTGGTTTGCATGATGGCATGCCGTGGGTGCCAATGCGCTGCGATGCAGCTCCTACGAGGGAAACCCCTCATCCAGGGGGAAGGTGATGCAAACAAGCCTGGAGACTGCGTAAGCTGGGCTCGTCAACGGCAGCCGGCCCCCCAGATTGAATGGGCAACGCGTGTCCCCCGTGCTGTTGCTTCAGTGTTCGCTTCTCTGGGCTTGTGGTTCATCCCAACAGCAGGATCCTTCATATGCCGGTGTCCCAGTACTGTGACAGTGGTGCTCATGCACTGTTGTGCCTTCAAAGGACGCCTGCCGCGACGTCTGCGCCCCCATCACCGTGTCTACCGCCGCGTCGGCTGTCACCGTCACCAGGTGACGAGCTATTGTTGTCAATGATCAGGCCCCGGTGTGCGGCGGCCGGTATGTGCTTAGATATTTTTATTTGACTCTGCACGCTTGTTCTCAGAAACGCCGCTGGTGATCCTGTGTGTTTCGAACGTGTGCATCCGCGGGGCGAGCACGCACGTGATCCTATGGCAGCCATATGAGGTCAGTCAGTATTATCAGCATGCTGGACATCACTCATTCTCTGGCGGAGCTCTCGGCCAAGGATGGCAGGCCCTTTGACGAGTGAGTTTTGGATCTGCCGCGTTTCAGAGTCTGCATAGCTAATTCTTACATGTATGTGCACAAATGTAGGCGTCTGGAAATGGCGCACACCCTGGTGCGGCAGCTGCTGGCCGTGGTGGTGCAGGCGGCGAGAGATGTGCAGCCGGCAGGCATGCCGCTGCACGTCGCAGCGCATTACCTCCGCTCAGTGGTGGACTGGCTGATCTCGTCCCTGCTGTCCAAGCCGCCGCATCAGCATCCAAGCAAATCCGGCGCGCCCGGCACGCCCCCGGCCGCAACTGCGGCGCAACGGGGGCAGCAGCTGCCGAAGCCGCAGCCGCTGCATCCCAGGGAGAACCCCCGCTGCTGGGAGCTGCTGGCGGCGGCCCTGGAGGCCGGCGCGCCGCTGCTGCAGGGCGCCAACATAAGCGCCACCCTCTCGTCCGCCGCCGCCGCCGCGTGCGGCGCGGCCGCGGGCTGGGCGCACCGCGGCCGCGCGGCGGGGCTCGCGGCGGCGCTGCTGCGCGCGCTGGGCGTGCTGGGGCGGCGGTACGCGCTGAGCTATCGCCCAACACTGGAGCAGCAGCTTGCGCTGCTGGCAGCGGCGCTGCAGGTGGCTGCTGGGCGCGCCCCTTCCCCCCCAACGCGTGCATTGTACACCATCAACCGTGCCCCATGATACTTGACATGCTCGGCCACCACAGCACATTGACCTGCAAGAGTGCACAGGATCTTATCTGAGAGTACACCCACGTGTGCGAGACGTTACTCAGGGCTCCAAGCCCACCACAACAACCCTCACCATCCCCTTGCAACTTCCGCAGGCCCTGCTGTCTGACGACTCCGCACCCACGAGCGCCCTTGCGGCGCCCGCGGACGCCGCGAACGCCGCGGCGGCCGCCCCCGCGGCGTGGGGTGGGCTGGCCGTGGCGTTGCTTGGCGGCCTCAAGGCGGCGGCGCAGTCGCACTCCAACCCACGGAAGGTGCGGCAAGGGGCGCGCGGGCAGCGGCGGCGCTCCGCCCTTGTTGCAAGCGACGCGCCCCCCTACCCTGCCAAAATCCTGCTCTGCTCCAGCTGGTGGGCCGCAGCCGCCTGCATGTTCACCCACCTTGCTGCCTGCCGGCCGTCCAATTTGACCGCTTGACTTCCTGGCGGGCGTCGCTGCTGACTCCTGAACTCCAGGTGCTGTCATCTGTCGTGGGCGGGGACCTCTTCCCTGCCGTACTCACCGTCGCCTTCACCCCGGCGACGGAAGGCGCCGCGGCTCCGGCCCGCGCCGCCCGCTGGCGCTACGGGCGTGCCGCAGAGGCGGCGCAGCGGGCGCTCGCGGCGGTGCTGTTCCACCTCAGCCATGTAGCCGGCATGGCGGCGGCCTGCCGTGAGGCAGCGGCCGCAGCGCAGGCGGCCGCAGCGCCCGAGGCGCCGGCCGCCGCTGCGGCCCCGGGCCCCGAGGCTGCTGCGGCAGGCGGGCGGGCCGCAAAGAAGGCGCGGGGCGGCGAGGGCGCCGCGGGTGCTTCAGGCGAGGGCGCGGCCCAACAGGGCTATCAGGGGTCCCTCTTGCGCCGCCTGGCGGGCGTGCTGTCAGAGGGCCTCAACGCGGGCAGCAGCGGCGGCGGCGGCGGGATCGGCAGCGAAGCGGCGGCGGCGGCGGCGGCGGCGGCGGCGCTGCTGTCGGGCCTGCCGACGTTGCTGGGTGATTACTGCGCCGCCGTGAGGCGCCACAGGCGCCTGCTCGAGTCAGGTGAGCTCCAACCGGGTTGGCACTCTGCCGCCCCCTCCATTTGTTGACCCACCGGCAAGCGTTCCCGTTTGTCCATTTCAAATTCGGCGAGAGGTGCCCAACGGCGCGGTGCTCCGGTTGCGGCGGCGCTGCAGTGGACATCGTTCCCGATTTGCCCTCTCCACCATCCCGGGACGGAGGTTGCGCACAGCAAGCCTCGGCCGTGACCGAGCGGACCCACGGGCGACGTCCACTAGCGTATCCTTGGTTCAATTCTTTCTCTGAGACCTGATGATCTGTGATCCTTCTGCTCCAATCACCTGCAACAGACGCTGACGCGGCAGCCGAGGCGGCAGGCAGGGGCGAGCGGCAGGAGCGGGCCAAGCAGGAGAGCGGCGCCGCCGGCGGGGGTGCGCAGCAGCTGAGGGGGGCCGAGATGGACTTTGTCATCGCCCTGCTGTCGCTGCTGCAGCCCTACGTTGACCGGCGGTCAAACATGACACCATCGCCCGCGCCGGCGGCGGCGGGCGGCACAGCAGCCGCCGGGGACGCCGCGGCCGCTGCCGGCCAGGAGGCAGTCCGTGGCGCGAAGAAGCGGCGGCGGCCCCCGCAGGACTCCGACCCTCCGCGCCCGCACGCGCCCCACGCCGGCGCCGGCGCCGGCGCCGCCAGCGCGTGGTGCGCTGCGGCCCGCGGCGCGGGGCGGCTGCTGGACGCTGCGCGCGCAACGGGCGCCTACGCGCCGACAGAGGACGTCGGCGGCCGGCAGAGGGCCGTCCTTGCCGCGCTGGCCGCCGCCGGCGCGGCGTCGTACTCGCAGCTTCGTGGCGCCGCCGCGGCGAGCGCGAGTGCGGGGTGCCGGGGCGGGGGCGGGGCGAGGGGCGAGGACGATGTGGAGGGTGCTGCGGCGGCGCTGATGTGCGCGCTGTTGGACATTGAACACAGGTGGGTGCGATGTGAGTGTGTGTGTCAGGACAGTAGGGGATGCAGCGGTGTAGTGATGCTGGCAGTGCTGGCCTGGCTTGTAAGAATGCCAAAGAAGACGGGGTTGGCACCCGCTTGCAGGCTGTGTGGGCCATGGAGCAAGCGCCAGGCCCCCCTGTGCCCCATCACAACTCGCTCTCTCCGCACCCCCCCCCCTCCTGCTCCGCCCCGCAGGGCGCTGCAAGCTCATGCGGAGGCGCTCTATGGCCTGGTCTGGGCGGCCGCCACGGCGCGCCGCGGCGGCGGCGGCGGCGGCGGGGCGCGCGCCGCGGCGCGGGTCGTGATAGGGATGATCAGGGCAGCTGCCGAGCTGCGCCAGCTGGACTCGGCCCTTGGCCAGCTGCTGGAGGCGGCGGTCTGCCACTGTTTGGGGGCGACGGCCGCTGCGAGGCCGGCCGAGCAGCACGGCGAAAGCGGTGGCGGTGGCGGCGGCGCGGGCGGAGGGGACACGGAGGAGGGGGACGGCCGCGGCGGCGGCGGCGCTGCGCTGGTGCTGGCGCGCGGGGACGTGCTGGCGGCGGCGCAGGCGGCCGTCGGGGGCGCGCCGCCAGGTGAGTGCGTCCGGGGCTGCGCCGCGCGGGGCTTGGATGGTGCCTGCTGCTGCGCACGCCTCGGCGCAAGGCTCTGTCTCCCGCCAGCACACCATGCACATGACTGTCCCGGGCGCACGCTGACGTGCGGCTGAATACTGTATGGAACAAAGTTCGCTCTGAGCAGCCCCAACCGACCTTGCGAACGAAACCACGCCACCGCGACCGCAGGCCAAGCGCCGGCGCTGGTGGCGGTTGTCGGCCGCTGCCTGCCGCTCTTGCTGCAGCTCTCCCCCGCCCCTACTCCC